TTGTGTCACTCTGGGAACAATCTCTCCCAAATTGACTACTAATTTCTACCTAGGCCTCCGTGCCCATGGAAGTTCCCTCAGTGCCATCTGCCATGTTTCTGAGTTTCTTAACTGAAGCAGTGACCATTCAGTTTCTCTAAGTCTTGTGCTTATGGTGATTTCCCATCCTGAAGAATTGCAGATCCTCCAAGAGGGCAAGTTTGTCCATACATCTTTGAGTTCGCTAATGGAAACAGGATTTCCAATTAAGCAACTACAGCTAAGAGATATATACATTGGCTTCCCTTCCTTCCTTCCTTCCTTCCTTCCTTCCTTCCTTCCTTCCTTCCTTCCTTCCTTCCTTCCTTCCTTCCTTTCCTTTTGCCACTTTTCCTTTTTTTGGTACCCAAAGACCGGGTGGCAGCAGATTCCTTCCAAGAGGCTGGAATGTCTATGCAATGTGCATCTCTTCCTGTTTTACAGGACTGCAGAGGGGGATGTGTGTGGATAGCAAGAACTGGGGTGGCAGGAGCAGCATGCCGGCATAACTGTTGGAAGATGATTATCAGGGAAAGGGTAACTGAAGGCAACGCGGTCCTGAGGTAGGGGCATTTGATATTACCATATTCAGAGTGCATCATTGCTTTGCCTTCCCCAGAAGCAACATGTGGAAATCTGCTATGCCGTAGCAGCTGTGAAGTCTTGTTGGTATCCAAGAAGAGAGTCATCTCTGTCATCCAGCAAGCTGGAAGACCTTCCAAAAGCAGCAAGGAACAGACAAAGGAGGCTTTCTTCCCTTTAAGGTCTTCCCTGGAGGACTAGAGAGGCGGTGTTAATGCCTCTGCTGCTTCCTCCTTCCACTAGAGCTTATTAACTGGGTTTGCTTCCATGTCATTTGATGGTCATGCCTTCCTCTGTTTCCATTACCCACAGAGAAGGAATTGTTTTGTAGTTGTAGGGCTCCAGGTGGCTAGAATGAAGCCTTTTGAATTGTCTTGTCTTCCAGATGCTCTTTTCCCTTGGAAAGTCCTGCTGCCTTGAAATTTCTTTGAGAGATGCTTCCCTGAAAGCACCACAAGGCAGCAGAGGAAGAGCCCTACAAAACATAAGAGATGAAATCGTGAGTTCCTCTCGCAGTGCCTTCTCCGTATTTTTATGGTTGCAGCCATAGAGCAGGAGAGGGCTTTTTACATCATGAAGACAGGTGTAGACAACTTGCACCCCTGTGGATATTTTGGGCTACAGTTCCCTCCAGCCTTAGCCTGCATAGCCAGCAATGAGAGATGGTGGGAGCTGTAAGCCAAGACAGCTCAAGGGTCGCAAGCTGCCAACCCCAATTGTAAGACTTTTGCAGAATGGGGATGATTCATGTGGCTTCTGTGAGATCTAAAGCCCACTGAAGGAAAAACTCATTACTGGGGGAAATCTGCCTTGCTAGCAATTCCTAAAAGCTGGAGAGCAGGATAGCATCTATCTCTGTCTGTTATTTTATTTCATTTTATTTTATTTTTGGCAGTATCTCTAGAAATATAGCAAGACATTTATAATGTTGGCAAATGAAAGAGACAAACATTCTTCTCAGGAAGAGGTCTTTGAATTATGGAGGCCTCAATGGGAAAAAGAACTGTACTCATTAGTTTTTGGTAAACTTTACAAGGCTCTAATACAATTGGATTTAACCTCATGTTGGGAATTGCATGAGTGGAGCTGGCTGGAGCTGGGGTCAGACTAGATGGCCCAGGGAACCCCTTCTAATCCAAAGTTGACATACATACACACACACAGCTATCTATCATGGACTAACTCAGATTAATATGAGACAAATGCAAATAAATTCAGAATCTGTCACTCACATCTCCAAATGGGAACACAACAGGATCTGTTCCCTACCTCTACCAGTAACCCTTGGAAAATCAATCTTTTCCAGGTTTAGTTGTGCCTGCAACACTGACTGCAGGTGGAGGGGAGAGATCTCCCACCAGCCTTTCTTGCTTGCCTTTCCTGAAATAGCACCTTCTGCCAAGTAACGGCTGAGAAGGAGTAGAGACATGGGTTAGGAGAATGATTGCTGAGTGTGTTCAGCAGTGGAATTCTTCTCCAGACCATATTTTTGATGAACATTATGAGCTCTCAGGACTCATATTTCTGAGAGGAAAATATCACTGTATCCCCTGTGCCCCAGAAGCAAGGTGGCACTATTCCACATACAAAAATATTATGAGAACTTTAAGAGACCATTTACCTGAGATCTTTCAGAAGTTCTGCTTGAGGGGCTTGGTGATACGACTCTGGAGAAACTTCACCAACATCCCAGCATTAGCAGGCAGCTGAGGATTCTTGTGGTCCCTGGGGTGGGGGAAGATGGAGCATGCATCAGAGGAGGCATACAAACTAACCAGAGTACCAAAAAGAAAACAAGATAGGCCCCGCATTTCTTCAGTGAATTTCTTGATGGCGCGTCTCAGTAGTGATGACGGCATTCCCCAGATCGATGTGTCAGAGCACAACTTCCATCAAGCCCAAACAGCCAGTGCCTGCTGTATCAGTCCAACATGCTTGGAACTACTAGATGGAAGAGACTGGCTCACAGCAGCTCTAGTGGCAGTGCCCAAGTTTTGTGGGGCAGGTAGGGGGACAATAAAAGAGTGAGAAACTGCACGCTTTTCAAGTGAAGGCTCTACACACTTCTTGGAAATAATGAAAGGTGGATTCATCTCTGAAGGAAGGGATTCTTAGAAGCCAGTTAAATGGCACATGACCCTACTCTCCTTCTCTGTGACCTGAGCAAATCCTTTCATCATGCAGCCACCCTTGCATGGTTATTATAGGCCCCCAAAGAGTGTCTTTATTACAGAGTAAGGCATTTGGAATCAGTCGTCAATCTCTGGCCCTGTGCCAGGATTTCCTTTTCCGAAGATGAGAAAGCTGCATCATGGGCCGGGGCAGGGAGAGAACGAGAGAGAGAGCAAGATGCTGGCAGGGCTTATTTTCAGCACTTGAGCCAGGAATGGGACTTCCCAGTCCAAATACTACCTAATCTGGAAGATCCTTGGGAAGTTGCAAAGCTAATGCTGTGGGGGAGCTAAGATATATAAGGTCAGGTCTGTGAGAGGGGCTGTAGACAGGGGTGGGATGGAGAGACCTCCTGCCACCCAATTTGTGCTGCCCTCTATTTTTTTTTATAAGCTAATAATTAAAAACACGGTGTGCTTTTGTCTTTAAGAGATGAGATGAGCTGCCCTCCGTTCTCCCACCCCAAACATCCAGCTTGGCTGTGTGGCTGGATGCAGCACTGGCACTTTCTGGTTTGCCTGGATGCTGATGCCAATTGACGCTGACCCCTTTTCAGACCAGGCATGACTAAGGCAGCAATCCTATCCATATTTAGGCAGAGAAGTCTCCTTCCCTCTTCACCATGCCCAGCCAGTCTGGCTGGAGGGATGCTAAGAGGTGTAGGACACTTCTCTGCCTAAACTAGCATAACACTGTGCTCTAAGACTGGATCCAAGCCCCTGTTCGGTCTTCTCCTTGACCCCACCTGCCATAATGCCTGGTCCATACACTGCCAAGTCGATTGTTGCAGATTATGATCTAGAAATGCATTGTTGCTGCTTTACAATGAAAATGGGGGCTCTTCTCAGGCTGCAATGCTACACAAATGACAACCACACCACAACTAAGAATCGCTGCAGACAACCCAATGCTACTAAAAAGAGAAGGCCTGCTGATCACACTTGTGGACTAGATGGAAAGGCCGGGATGTTGAAAGTCAAAGCAACACACAGAGAGAAGCAGTAAGTTGATTTGGTTTTCAAAGCTGGGAAGAGGCCTACATTGTATCCCTTCCCCAAGTGCCTCTGATTGATTCTAAGCCGAAAGCCTGGAACACAGTCTTCTGACATAAAAGCACAGTAGGCTGGATTTATTCTTACAAGCCCATTTAAATCCAGAGGACATATTAAGTCCCATTAATTTCAGTGATTCACCTCTAAGCAAGACTAAGTCTGGACCCAACCGATAGCTCTTCACGTTGTGGCCTCTCCCTATACCTGAGGCATATGAATGTCTTTGCATACCATTGACACAAAGGGCTGGCATTTAGAAGCAGAGGCTGGGAGGAATCCAAGCAGCCTTCCCTGACATGGTGCCCTTCAGTGGTTTTGACTTACTGCTTCCATCTGCCCTAGCCACTGGGCTTGTTGGCTGAAGCCAAAGGGAGCTCTGATCTAGAACGTCTGAAGCTCATCTAGTTGAGGAAGGCTGGAGTATGGGTTAAGAGCTCAGTTAAGATCATCAGGCCATAGAGCTCTTAGGAAACATGACAGAAAAAGGTAAAATATAGTTTTCAGCCAAATGCTCCATCAGATGAGAAGATCAGCAGAGAGATCTCCTTGCTCTGTTCTAAGGTACCACCACCTTCATGCTCTAATTAGCATCTCTTTCTCTACAGAAGGAGTGATGAACCTCTTTCAGCCCACAGGCCAAATTCAGTTCAGGAGATGGCGGGCTACATTCCAGTCATGGACAGAGCCAAAATACCCCAAATACCTGTAAGTTGTACCTTAAAGCTCTTTCTGCCAATAACAAGGCCTTAGAAACAGCTTTTTGGCCATTTAGAATGAATGAAGGACCATGCAACAGACCATGCCAAATAGTCAGGCATTGGAAAAAGGGGACAGGACCTGGATAATAGGGTAAGGCCCATGTGGGCCAGATTTGGCCTGCAGGCCTGAGGTTCAACACCGCTGCCTGTAAGGAGGTGAGCTCCATGCAGAGATAGGAAAAAACCACCTTCCCAAGGAATCAGTGCTATGGAAGTGCTAGCAGAGTTCACAGAATAGCTCGGAGCAGCCTGATGTGCCACATGAAAGCGATGGAAGGAATTCACCGTCGCTTCCGTAAGGCAGCTTCTCTGTGCTGTAAGTACATGTGTTGCACCAGTTGCCTGCATCGTGCCAGGAATCCCCCGGACAGCTGCAGCAGCCACCACCACGAGTGATAACAGTCACGTGTCCTTCCACTTACCAAGGCTTGCCATGGCAGAAGGTTGTGCAGATATTGTCCTTTGCATGAGAGCACTCACACCTGCTAAGGGATCGCTTCTGCCGCTTTTGCAGATTTCCCAGGCCATAGGGTGTGGCATGGCTGATATAAAACATGAAAGAACAAACCAACCCAGTTAACCCTCTGCAATTGATTAGAAGGGAAAGCTACAATGACAATAACAAGGTTTGTTTGCAGGCTGTTAGTAGAAGAGCTCTTTACTAACTCAAGGAACAAGCCAATCATTTCCTCTGACCCTGTGAAGCTCACTCCTGATGCCATCATCCAGCACGCAAGTAGTGGGCAGAGGGACTCGCTGTTCTTCACTTGACCATATCAAGATATGGCCATCATTATCCTTCCTTCTGTTAGGAAGAAAGGTACAGGGGGATCTAGGCCAAAGGAGGGGTGAAGCTGGTGGCCCTCCCTGTATTGTTGAACTACTAGTCACATGTTTGCTGGGGCTGGAGGAGTCAGAGTCCAACAACATCTGGTGGGCCACCAGCTTTCCCTCTCCACCCCAACCTAGGCTAACAATGCAGTCCTCTCCGGAAGAATGCTTTGGGACTTACTCTTTGGTTAGGATCTGCAACGGGGCTGACTGAACTGTGTGCCTTCCAGTGGGTTGGCCCTCTTCATTGGCTATGCTGACAGAATAGAATAGTAGTAGCAGAATTGTCCTGAGTCCCCCAATAACCTCACAGACAAGTGAAATTTGAGCTTGTCTGGACCCGGTGGCATTCTGGTTCCTATGCAACACTAACATAGAATCTAGTGGGGCAATTCTATGCAGCTAAGCGGTGGGTGAGTCGGGGTAAGCAAAAGAAGTCCTTCTTCTCATTATGCATATTTATAAACTATGGAAGTCATTCCCACAAAATGGCATAATGGATGCCAACTTGGATGGCTTTGAAAGGGGATAAGGTGAAAACATGGAGGATCTGCCAATCAATAACTATAAGGCCTGGCGATTTGCTATCATTTCCATTTGCTAGACTAGATGAACCATTGGTGTGATCCAGCAGGGATTTTCTTACAGTCTTATCCCTCTGTTTCAGAAATGCATTGCTCCCAGTTCACATTCCTTGCACGGCCTTGGCCTGAGAGAATAAGACTTCCCAGCCTGCTGCTCACCCGTTGTTCTGAACTCTGGCTTGCAGCATTCCTGACCATTGGCTGTGCTGATTGGGACTTATGAGAGACTCTGACACTGGGAAATGCACCAGAGCAGCCTTCCTGCACCAGGTATCCTCCAGATGTTTTGGATTACAGTTCCCATCATCCTGCCCACTGACCATGTGTTAGCGGGTGTAATTAAAACTATATCTGAGTTGTCTGTCTGGCTTGCATCTCAAACGTCCGGTAGCTTGATTGTTTCAGAGCCACCTGCTGTGCAGGCATCTTCCAAAGCACCACATGAGTTCAAGGCCGCTCCCCTTCTCCCGTCTCCAGCCCAGGAGAAAAGTGCTACCTAGAGCTGGGATGGGCTGGGATCCGCTTTCCCCAGTCTGGAAGTTTCAGATATTTTGGAGTGCAATTCCCATTGCCCCTCACTGCCACCTGCTAGAGCTGTTGGGAGTTGTCTAAAACATCTGCAAGGCACCAGGCGGGGAAAGGCTGTGACAGGTTCTGAGTGATTTGTAGTAGATCAACAAGGCTACAGTTCTGATACCAAATCATTTGGTAAAAGCAATGCCCAGAAGTTTTTCTCTCCGCCACCCCCCAAATTAGGCTGCTAAAATGAAGAAAACCAAGACTGGTGCATTTGCTTCAGACTCCAACTCCCATCAGTTATAGCCAGCTTGGCCAGTGGTCAGGCTGGGACTCATAATCCAAAATACCTGGAGGGCACCAAGTCAGAGAAGTCTGACATGAAACAAAGGTGAACTAAGTCTGGATACTGAAAAGTGCTGGGGGAAGCACTCCATTCCTTCATTCAGAGTGCATGAACTCCCCCTCCCCCCCCTTTTGCACCTGGTTGGCAGATCTTGATATTTGGGGAGGGGGGGCAAATAAATCTTTCAAGCTTGACACCTGTTCCCCCTGAGTGCAATATGCCTTGCTGAAGGAAACATTGGACATTTTCCAAAAATCAAATAGCATCAAAGGGAAGATTCAGAGTCTGCAGAGGGCAGCCTTCCCCAGCCTGGTGTCCTCTAGAAGTCTTGGACTGCAATTCCCATCATCCCAAGTCACCCTGGGCAGTTGCAGCACAAGTCAGTTTATGGCACCAGGGCCATGATGGCTGGCATGGAGCCAGGACAGAGGCGCATGGATGCTTTCTAGGGTCATGTGGGTGAACATTTCTTAGAGAAAGGAACGCTTTCCACAGCCCACAGATAATGCCCATGGCTGTGAACACAAATGCCACAGACCTGCCTGGCAGAGAATTGTTCCTTCACACTGCTCTGATGCCACGGACTACAATCTCTTTCAAGACCTCAGTGGGAGCCCCCACTTCACTCACCCCGGCGTATTGATCCAGATGATATCAAGGTGACAGAAGTAAATGCACTCCTTGTCCATCCAGTTGGTGCAAGAACATCGCTTCATCCTCAGGTGCTTGCCGTTGGCGGCCGCCGGGTGTGATTCTGCGAGAGGATGGCTCAGCCCTGCCGTAGAGGAAAAGGACAGAGAAAACAGGAAGTCAGTTGTGGGTTCTGGATGGAAAAGCTCCGAAATGCACTGGGCTTTGTCAACAGAGTGATTAGACCCACCATCTAATCGTAAAGAAACGATGTTAGCAGTTTTATGGCAACCCGGCCATACTGATAAAGCCTACAGGATCGAAAACAGTGCACAGTTGTTTGTTGTGTGTATTTGGTACACCTCGGCACTTTCCGCCTAGCTCAGCAGGAACTAGGCTGTGCAGGAGATAGGAGGCGCTGCCAGGTGTAAAGAACTCGGAGCAGCCTTTGCCCTCGTTTGCAGCGGCATCTCCTGCTTATCCGCATGTGCACAGGTGAGTCGCTGGCAAACAGATCCGTGTGATCAAACAGCAGCAATCACCGGGCACATGCCAACCATGCCTGGATAAAGGCGGGTAAGAGGATCGTTATCACCCGCTTTTCCCCTTATCAAGCAGACTCGCAGATTGCCTGTGACTGCCAACTTCCCATCAGCACTTAGGGGCTCAGGAAACTGCCTTACACTGTCTCTGGCCCTTTACTGTCAACAGGAATGGCAGCACACCTTCCCAGAGTTGGGTTTTTGTTGTCACTGTTGTTTTTGTCCTGCCCTCTGGAAAGCAGCCCACTGAGTTATGCTCCCCCCATTTTTTGGTGGGAGCTACAGAAAATTAAAGAAAAAAACATGGGTACGAGAGTGCACGTGCATGTACACAAACAAAAGCTTGTCCAGAAAATACAGGACATTTTCATCACCATCTTCGGCATCTTCTTTCCCCAAGGAACCATCCCCTTTGAGGGATGCTACATGTTCCAAGCAGGTTGGACCACGCGTCCGCACGCACGCCTGCGAGGCAAGACAGGTCTACTCCGCTGCCACTCGGAAGCAGCAAACGAGCGCGCAGCAGAGCCTCGGCTGGCCCAGGCAACCTATCATTCAGCCGCCGTGCCCAATCATCGGGGCGCGGGGTGCCGTCTGCCAGAATGGTGCGTGCGGGGACAGCAAACTCCTCGGCTGCAAAAAAGAAAAGGGGGGGAAAGCGAGGAGAGGGAGAAAAAGAAGCCCCGCTTGGTTTCCAACCGATGCACAAAATGAAAGAAACGCAAATGTTCAAAATCTGACGACTTCTCTCACCTTCTTGCAGCACGGCGCAAAGGGCGATTGCAAAGAAAAAGGAACAGGACGGGCCGTGGGCCATTGTGGCGTACTTAATCCTGCAATAAGGCGGAAAGCGGAGCTCGCTCGCTCGCTCGCTCGCTCGCTCAAAAAGGCTCTTCTGAAGCTCTCCGGGCTTCGCTGCAGGTGCTTTATAGGCTGCCAGCGTCTCGGGCGCACACGGGCACGCCTCTACTGCCCCCCGCCCTGCCCCAGCCTGGGACGGGGGCTCCCTCCGCCAAGCGAAGCGGGCACCGGGCCAGCCCGAGCTAAGCCTTCCTCCCCCTTCCCTGCCTCCGCCTCCTGCCGAGGAAGTCAGGCTAGAGTGGCTCTTGCCGGAGCAGGGAACGCGCCCCTCCCCAGGACGCCGGCCCGCCGACGGGTGCCGAATCGTGCCCCCTTGAGTCGCCCCGCGCCCCGGGAGCCTCGCAGCAACTCCGCCAGACAGTTCAGGCTGAGGCGGGAGAACCCGGGAAGGACCTGAAGGAAAGAGAGCGCGTGGCAGTGGTCCCACGCAGCCTTCCTCCTGCCCAGCCTGAGCGGCGGGGTGCTGGAGCACGGCCCCCGGGCTGGCCGGGGCGTCGTGGAAGGACAGGAAGAGCCGTCAGTCGGGACTGGGGAGACCCGCGAAGCTCTGTGGGTGACTCTGGAGCGTCATTATCTCTAGCCTCACAGGGTCATTGTCCAGATGAAATGGAAAGACTCTTGGGGCTGGGGGAGAGAGAGCGGGAGAGCGCCTATATCACTTGCCCCGGGGAGATAATATATACATATACACGAACCTCCCAACCCTTCCATCTGATCAAACCCCAAACTCCCCTTCATTCCCAGCTTCCGAAGTGGAACTCAATTTGAGTGACTCCGTATTTCTCTCTCTCTTCCCTTTTCACTGTAGGATAACAAGAGGATGGAAATGCCTGGGTAAAGAAGGATGAGGTTGGAGGAACTGTCAGGGTACCAGTAGCTGAGGCTAGCAGATTTCAAACATCTTCCCACAGCTTACAAGCAAAAACTAAATAAGCTGATGGTGCTTTTGCTGCAAACCATCGAAAACCAGAGCCTGACAGTTTCTTCGTGTGATTTCAGTTCACCAGTTGGAAATCAATGCGCTGCAAGGCTGCACTGGCTCTCCCGGGGAGGGATGGGACTTGCTCAGTCCCAGAAGTTGCTTTTGAGGCTGTGGGGCTTGCCCCGGAACAACAGCAGAAGAGCCACAGTCAGGATCTGTAGTGTATTTTGCTTTTATCTATGTAATTCAACTCGAGACATCATCTGAAGGAGGATGAAAAAGGTGGTGAAGGCGGGAGAAGAGGAAACCCAGCCTTTCGTGGGGCAACAAATTCTCAAATCTTAGATGTGTGCAACCCAGCTGCAGTTGACACACTCCTAAGTTTGTGCTGAAGAAAGCAGTGTGTGTGTGTGTGTGGCGGGGGGAGCAATTTCACCACGCCAGTTTTCTCCCACAGTGCCGTGTTCATGATGGGGTCATGTATGGAGATCAAGCTTTCCTCAAAGCCAGAGTGCCTATGATAACTGGGGACAAAAGGGGGGCCATCTCCCCTGCAGCTCACAGGGACGCTCAATGCCCGAGTTTCTGGGTCATGACGCACCGGTCCAGCTTTATGGGCAAGAGGCAGCAATGAATCATGGCTTTCGGGTGTGGTTCCCTCTCCCCAGGTCAAGTAACACCTTGGGAAGTGGGGTTTCATCGGGAAAACGGCGTGAAGGAAGCGGGACGTGCATATTCTTTCTAAAAGAAACAGAAAGAGGTCGATCCCGTCATGCTCTCTACTTGTCTTACCTAGCTTGGGCCACAGGGGTCACCCCTGTGCCTCTCGAAGATAATGCGACACGCCATCTAAGGGTAAACTCGCGGTTAACCTTCTCTTCATGCCGTCTTTCTCAGAGGTGCCGCCGACAGCATCCATCCTTTTCTCCCCTCTTCCCCTGCTTTCTCATAATGCTTTGTGAGGCTGAAAAACGGAGAGGCCCGCGGTCCTCTGGTGAGCTTCACAGCCAAGTGGGATTTAGAACCACACTCTCCCCACACTCTCCGGTCTGATCCTCTCACCACCCTCGCACTGGCTCCCTGTTATCTTTGCAAGCCCAGGCAGATGCTGCCTCCCTATTATCTTTGCAAGGTTATGGCTGACTCACGCCTTGCCTGATGTTTCATTGCTCATCACACCAGGACTGCGAAAGTTGGTCTGGGAGAGCTGTTTCACTCATTCAAGGGACCACTGGAGTTTGTTTGCACACCTCATCTGAGGAAGGCATGCATGTGCAGTCATCTTTATTTCCCTCTGTTTCGCTTTTCCTTCCTTTTCCTTTTGTCCTTTGTCAACTTCAGCCTGAAAACTATGAGGACCCCTGGGCAAGACATCTTCAAAGCACCCCTTGCCTTAATGAACCCTCTTTCGGTCCTCCTTCCTTCTCAGCACCACAGTTGTTTGTGCCAGCGTGGGAAGCAGATCAACAGGTGGGATGCAATGGTGAGGAGGATGCTTTGCTGCTGCAGGGTGGGCCATTGGCATGTACCTGGCCATGCCTTCCCTGTGCTCTCTGGTAGGACCGCCTGTTCTCTAGATGTGCACACATCTGCATGCAGTGTAATCAACCAACTGAATCAAACTTTCCACAAAGACAGAGTTCTTACAATGACTGCAAAACAGGGGAGGTTTCTTAGAAACACACACACACCTACACCTGTGTTTCATTGGATACCTATTTAAATCTCTCCCACAACATCTACTCACCTCTTGGTCATAAATCTAGAAGAATGGGAGCAATAAAACATGAGTTTCTGGTGCGATTTCCTCAGGGCCAACTTCAAAGGTAGGCACACTTTGGGCACCAAAGGGCCATGCCCAATCAGTTGAGATCCACTGATGAGACAGCCCCACCCCACCCCACCCCACCCCACCCCACCCTGGACTTGCTTCCCTCCCCATCATTGCAGTCTGAGTCTTCACCAGCCCTTGCCTTGGACCAAGCAGTTCTCTTGTGGAAGAGGAGGAGGAGATATCACCTCCTATCCAGTCAAGGGAGGAAGTGTGAGCAATGGTGAGGAAAAGGATGTGGACCAGTGTCATGAGAAGACAGAGTCATCAAGGAAGGGGATCCACTCAGCGTACTTTGCCCAAAGTACCAGAAAATCCAGGGGCTGGTATTATGCACTCCCCTTTCTTTGAATCCTTTTCCACTCTTCCAGAAGTCACCAGCTACTGAGCTGATGAATTAGCCTCCAGTGAAAGTACTCTACCTGAGCATCTGTCAAATGGTTTCAGGATGAAGGCTGCAACTGCTGTATCTCTGCTATGAGTCCCATAAGAGTGCTACCCTAGAAAGCATCGCACTGACCTGCCTGGAAACTTCTGCATGAATAGCCCAAGCTCTGCAGAGTTAGAGCTCTTCTGCACCTTCACAAGGTTGCTGAAAATATGAAGCAAACTTATCTCTTTCCCCACCTCTATAATCTGACAGTGGTCCAGCTGACACAGCATTTATCAGCCTTGAATAAAAGCAAGCTACTGGAGGTAGATGGACTTTCCAATGACTTCAGCAATTGCAACTGATTGCTTTCAGATGTGAAGCTTTCTCCTTCAGGCAGTCTACCTTATAAGGTTGTTGTGAGGATAAAGCATCTGATTCTCACCTCTGTTATGCACTCTATAAGCTTTCTATGCTGCATCAGCTTCACTATGGGGACAATCACACTGACCTGCTTTCTGAAATAGAAAGCCTCGGCTATTGGGCAATGCAGAAATGTTATACATATATTACACTGAGTCAGGCTATAGGTCTTTCCGGCGCAGTATTGTCCACACAGACTGGCAGGAGCTTTTCAGCATTTCCAGCCAGAATTTTTTCTGGAGCTACCCAGAGAGAGCCTGGGCCTTCTGCAGGCAAAGCAGCATCTCTGCCCCCCTGCCAGGCACCTTCTGCACCCTGATGCTTTCCATTTGATCTGAACTTTGACTTGCACCAGCCCCAACCAATGCGGCCAGTGGCCTGGAACAATGGGAGCTGGCATCCACTGGGAAATGCCAAGAACCAGTGTGGTGTTCTAACTACAGGGTGGGCCTTAGCTTGGAATGAACCTGGAACGTAACACTGCTCAGATAACCAGGGATGGAGGGGTGTCTTTCCAGTTGTTGCTTTTTCACACAATGTATAACCTCCCCCCTCATTGCCTCTCTTACATCCAAGGAATCCAGGGCCACTGAGCAGGTTGAAGTAGGTTTGGGTGGTGACTGGCCCAGAGCCACCGGAGGAACATAACTATGGAGCAGGGATTGGAACCTGGGTCTTCCCCAGCAGCGTCATCGTAAGTTTTGAAGTGTGCCCCTATCATGAGAGCCCCTGTAATCCGGTGAGTCCATGGATGCAGGCAGCTGTGTTGATCCATGTCAACAAGCCAATTCCGGCAGAATTCTTGTCTTACTGCCCATTGAAGAGCAAACCACCCCAAGATACTTTGTATCACAGCAAGGAGAGCTCACAGCAATACACTGTGGAAGGAAATGCTGTTTTCCAGCCCAACCTTGCAGCCAAGCTCAGAGGGGATGAAGTCGTCTGAGGGTGGCAGATGAAGACACCCTCCATGCTGATTGAGAGGTCCTGGTACTTTGACCCTGCGAATCCTGGATCTACTACACCATTGGTCTATCCAATCCTATCCGGACACTAAGCACTGTCACCACCAACTTCACATTGCATGTATATCCTGCCTTTGGTACCCTTGAGAAGAAGCCAAAGCTGTTTTCATAGCTGTCTCGCACTCCATTTTATCTCGGTAACAGCCCTGTGAGGTGGGTCAGACTGAGAGAGAGCAACAGGTCCAAAGTCACCCAGTAAGCAGCATGGAGGAACAGGAACAGGAACCAGGCCTCCCAAATCTGCAATCCAACACTCCCACCACCACACCATTCAGCTCACAGCAGGTGTGTGTGTGGGGCAGAGCTACCATACCCAAGCTGTTGTGGATGAGCAGGATACTTTGGGGCTGCAGTCCACCCTCCCATGCCATGCCAGGTGATCCCT